ACAACTTTTATACGGTCAGCTGAGTATTGGGAAGCGGCATGTAGGGAAACCAAAGTTACGTTACCAGGACATGAATAAAGTTAGCCTCACACGTTCTAATCTTGATTGCAGATCATGGGAATCGAAGGCGGTTGATCGGCGTGCATGGCGCGATCTAATCACGGAGGCAGTTGCTGAAGTGCGGGAGAAAGCCCTCATGCATGCAGAGAAGAAGCGGCAAGTGCGGAAGCGGCAAGCACCGATGAATTGTAGTCCATCGACATCGAGCGCATGGTGCTGTAGAACATGCGGTCGCGAGTGCCTTAGTCAGGCAGGCCTAGTGAGCCATGAGAGGGGTCACTCGGGACCACTGCCGAAGCGACGACGGGTCCTGCAGTGAACGTAGGCAGCACCGGTGCAGCGTTTGTAGGCACGCTGAATTCGATTTACTAACCGCGTGCTTGCATGCTAAGTCTCTTTATTTCAGGTGGTGGGTTTTCGGTTCTGTCCTAATGCCTTTCTTTCTCATATAAATGTCTAGTGGTCCAATGTCTAGTGGGCCATGAGCTAGGCCCTTTGGGGCCACTACAGAAGCGACGACGGGTCCTGCAGAGAATTACGGCGAGCCGGCGCAGCGTTTTGTAGGCACGCTGAATTCGATTTACTAACCGCGTGCTTGCATGCTAAGTCTCTTTATTTCAGGTGGTGGGTTTTCAATTTTGCCTTAGTGCTTTTCTTTCTCGAATAAATATCTCCCTGTACTCTATTCCATTAACTTGCACACATCGCCTAAGCCAATTGTAATCGATTTCCATAACATTTTTGTGTTCGTGGCATTCCGTGAACTATACTTTGTGACCTCGTGCACTTAGCTAGGATTTGTTTGTAAACAACTTATTCTAATGCTCATTAAATTAACGTTTATATCACCGTTTCCTTATGCATTAATCGAGTATTTCTCTTTTTCTATCTCTCTCTCTCTCTCAAGTGTTTGGCTGTTGTTTGATATCCCCGGTGTGGCTGCGCTTGATGTGCATGTTGACAAGGTGCCTACCTGTCTATTACCCACTACCTCGTCCATACTGGCTCCAATGAGACAGTTGGTCGTTGCTGGAGGGGACGGGGTGCACGGTCCTTGTGGCCGTGTTAGGATCAAAGAGTGGTTCCATGCAGTCAGTGTGGAGCGGACTACGGTCCAGCCACCGCCTTGTGTGCGCTTGATTCCCCAAATACAGCGTGCATGTGTTTGTCTCTGAAGGAGTGTGGGCCAACTCCGTTGATGAAACGTGGTTCCCACCCGCATGCCTCCCGGTCTTATTCCTTCGGGTTTACATTGGATATGGGGTATGTGGTTGGAGTTGTGGGTGGTGCAGCGCAAGCCATCCATGGTCCCTCTGTAGACGCAGGCGTCCTGTGGCTTGCCACAGTGACAGGCAAATCCGAAACCGGATGCCGCCAACCATATGAGGTTCTTGTTGTTCGCAGATGTTGTTGGTGAGTCAATGTGTCATCACGGACATACATGTTACGATGGTTACGCTGGGTCACGTAATCGCTCCAGGTTTAGGGAAAAGGACGAGCTCTGTAAGTCTGCCAAGCTGCGTTCCTTATTGACATGCGCTTGCGAGTTCTACTTCTGATGAAAGACGAGGGATTGGTGGAGCGAACTCTCTTAGCTTACGAAGCAGATGCGATTAGATTGCTGAAGCGCCCAACCAACTGAATCCAGGCGCTATCAGGTGAGCCACCTTTAAAGAACTAATTGGTCATCTCTACTAGGTTGTTCAAGATGTTGTAATGTATGATAGTACGTGTTACTTCTGTGTGTTCCGTGGGATATTCAGCGTAACACACAGTTATAAAGTATGGTGACATGATAGCTTAACCCCAGTGCGATGTCTACAAATGGCCTGTTGATCATGAGTTCCTTATTCGTATGGACGAGGTCAAGTACCGATGGTTTGTTACCAGCTCCGTACCTGGTAGGTGAGCTGATATGATTGTAGAGCGGGATACTTGCGATAAGGTCTTAAAGTTCGGCCTTGTATGTTTGGTTGGGGGATTCCCAGCTTTCCGAGTCGTGCACGTTGAAATCGCCGGAAATAAGAACGTAGCTGTAAGCTGGGAGTAAGCATTTCGTCAGTGATGATATTAGGTGGGAAGCCATCTCTGGAGTGGACGATGGGGAGCATTATCCGGCTGCCACAAAGCAGTTGTCGTTGTGTCTGAGAGGCAAACGGCACCATAGCGAATCGGTGACCCGCGTCTCCGGATCATCCAGTGATTCGGATTGTAAATCGTTACGATAGTATAGGATAGCACCACCTCCCCCGCTGGGACCATCGTGTCGGAACAAGGACATATCCTGAATCGCGATCTCGGCGTCCGTAATCCATGAGTGCAACCAAGTTTCGGTTACGGAGATGAGATCCCAAGCGTTTGCTTCCTGGCGCAACCGAAGCTCGGCGATTTTGCTGAGGAGGCCTTGGGTATTCGTGCACATGCAGGAAAGTGTTTCGGTTCTCAGCAACGATCCGAGGCACTTGTGGGCAGGATGATAGGTTGGGCCGACCGTTGTATGGTCAGCCGCTAGCCATTTTTGGTGGTATTATCGGCGAGTTGCTTGGATTTGGCTTCGGTGGCATTGTGATTAGTCCCTCAGACAACTCAGTTTGCACAATGCATGGGGAGTGGCTGTAGGATTGCATAGAAAGAGCCCCACTTCCTTCAGACTTGCTTCCGGTGTGAATTTCGGATAAGATCACTGATTTCTTTGCCTGCTGTGGTGGTGCTTTAAGTCGGATGACAGTTTCACCCGCCGTTTTGTACCGGAGCTCGGTTAGCAGTCTGTTCCGAAGTGAATGTCAGCGTTCCAGTAGCATAAGCGCCATCTGTCTAGTTTGTAATACAACCTTAATTATACATGGGCCACACCCTTTGTAGCTTTCTGATCTTGGCAGTTTCGAAAGAGAAGTAGCAACAACGTCATTCAAGATTAGGGTCTCACGAATATAGCGCCACTGCTCCTGGTTTTGTGCCTCTGCTTCGAATTTATCGTGTTCTTGAGACTAGGGGACGCCGTGAACAAAAGCGGTTCTGGTTTCGGCGTTTAGCCGGAGTTCTTCTAAGCTCTGCCTCGCTCGCTCCACGGAACGTTTGGAAAGACGCGGACCGGACAGATTTAGTTCTGTAAACGAGCAATCGAAAGCAACGCTGCTTCCACCTCATCGACAGAGTTTAGCACAATCCGAAGAAGCCTGTCTTCACCATAATACTTGTAATTCGGGTGGCGGCTGATCGTCGTCAAGTTGGAGGGCTTAGTCAGAATACCGAGGACGTTATTTAAGGCGTTTCATTGTTGCATGTCATCCACCTGTTTCCCTTTCAAAGAATTCGATGTTGACGCAGGAACGTAGGTACACATTATAGATAGGGCTTCCAGTTGTTTCTGAGTGTCTTTCATGGGAGTGTGGACGTAGTTTGGAGACCTAGCGATTTACTGTGCATCCGTTCAGCGTTGCCTTTCACATTAGTTATAGGTGTGGTTATAGAAACAACAGCGTCTAATTTTGGAGTGCACATTGATGCAACAACGGCCCAGCTGCTACTGCAATTTGCATATTTCCTGGCTTTTGGCGATGTTTGGTGGGAGGAGGTGGGTTTGGGGGAAATTGTTGTATATGGGCTGGGGGCTAGGTGTTCAGGAACGCTTGGGCGATTTGAATTAGTGGCAGTGTTTGCAGGTGCAACTTTATTAGTGTAGCATTCGGCGTTGTTGAGTTGGCTTGCAGTGGAGTTAGACGGAGGGGCCTGTGTCAGACATTCTGCCATGATCGCTCCTACGGAAGCTATTTTGGTGTCCAGCATCTCAACTACGTCTGTAAGTCTTTCACACTTCTGGGGCAGTGTAATTACGATTTTAACTAGTGGGACAGTATTACCCTTCGCATAGAACCAAAATGAGTCAGGCCTGCTGATCAACCTGCACTCGCTAGGCGTGATTTTCCCGCAAGTCGCATGGAAATAGCCTTGGCAATTTCCACAGAAAATTTCCAGTTTGACCATTTTATTGCACGTTCCACATGCGCCTTTAGGCACCACGGCTCGATTTACATTCATCAGGGTAGGTGAACGTGTGTTGCTTAGTCCTTCCCAGGACCCTGGATTGATTGATCCGGCGTCAAGTTCAGCCCGCCAAGACAGTGGGTGCCTCAATGTCTCACTCTTGCGGCCGCGCGCAGATAGTGAGATTCAGCGGTGCGCACACAAGCACACGTAGGCGCAGCGTGTATTGATGGGGTCGCGCCAAACGATGACGCACGCGGGACTTTGGCAACGTACCCTAAGTGCCTCGGACGCGATATTTAGTAGGTGAAGGACGCAAAACGTCTCGTAACTTTGTTATGCTGCCGCCTTTAGGGATGGTTGCAGGGTCGTTTGAGAGTCCTCAGCTTCTTCTACTGAATGATACCAAAAGTATCCTCGAAAAGCTTGAGAGTGATGTGATTTCACAAGCAGAACTCAACGAAGAATGTGCCGAAATTGCGAACAGGAGTAACAGTATGACACAAGGTAGCTCCAAGAGAAGGAAAACACTAAGTAGCGCTCGTCGAACTGGTTCGAACGAGCACAAGCACAAGAATGTGTGTGGAGAACTGGAGTGACCACAGCGAGTGAAGCGAGAGCCGAGATAAAGTGCGGCCGTACGGCAGTCAGCGCTAGTCTGAAATACTGCCCAGCTTAAGTAAAACTAATGATGGCTGCCATATGTTTCCTATACATAGCCAGGGTCCACGTGTAATTGCCAGCTGCATGGAACACTACTGCATCCGAATGTACTCGATTAAGTTTTCAAGTGGTTTGCCGTTTGTGCATCGACGCAACATTATTATTTTACCCAGGTTGATGTGTTGCCTAACTCATGAAATGCCTTCCATTATTGTGCAATTATTCGAAGGTTAACGCCGCGCGCTTCAATTGTAACCAAAGCTACCATGTGTTGGCACTTAGCTTCAACTTACCGGCGGGTCCCGTTGAGAAAACTGCTCACGGTGCTCCGTATCTAAATAGCGTACGTCATCTTCACTCAAACAAAGCTCGGAAGGAGGAGGGAGTACTTGTCGTGGGGCACATGCCGTCGAAGGACGCACGCCATTCCAGGCCGGTTCTGGTGGGAAATCCGCTTTGAACTGCGTCTCGCCAATGAATGGTTGACGCCGTCGGTCCAGCTTCGCTGATGACAGCTGACTGGTTGGCATGCCCTGGAATACAACAACACATATCGGGAAATGATGCATATGGTCTGTAAGCAAGTTGCATTGTAACTGTATCTAAACAGTTACCTGACGATGTTGAGATCGCAAGGACTGCCATCTTAATAGATGGGTTCACTTGTTCGCTAACTAGGAGCACAGGCTTTCTGGCAGTGCTACGTTTGAAGAGCGGTTTCACGAAAGAACGAGGTATGACCATGATTTGGATTTACTACGCTATTCACCGAGTCATCATATGTGCAACTACTCTCCACAATTAAGGATACCAGCAACACCATCCATTTTAAACGGCTCTCGTGTTTAAATCCATACAAGTTTTTCGCTTTGAGCCCAGTCATCAGTTGTGTAGCGTCGTCTGTCGAAGAAATCTCCGATGCTAAACGCAAGTGGTGGCACGTAAGAGGAGTGACGTGTACGGAGGTCGAGAGAACAGTTAGAACGTCTGGACCCAACATGTATTGACAAAAGCTAAGAAGGATGGTGGGCAGGTATACAGAATTAGACAGCAGTATTGCAGTGGGACTAGGCAAAGGAGCAAGTGATCGGTATGTACACTGCTAAACAAATGGATGATCGGAAGATATAGACAAGAATAAAAGCTAATGTCTCAAATTACTGAATGTGTAGATGCTTCATGTTTACTACAGGAGTCTCCGCCTCGATAGAGATGTCAGAGAAGGAGACAAATTGAGAACGGTAGGTTGGGGTAGCAATTGTAGTGGACGCAAGCAGACAGAGGGCGCGCCTGGGGTTCGATGGGTCTAAGCTGCTTTGTTATTGGTTATTTACTATTTGAGTGAAGACTGAAGTGCATCATCGGTAAGCCATCGGGGCGGGCTGTTCGGAATGCAAAAAAACTGGCTAGTCCAGAGAAAGGACCGACAGGACGTTTACGACGGTGAGCTTGAGAAGTTTCACACACTCGGAATCCACGACCGTAACCATCCTCGTCCCACGAATCATCCCGGACGTCCTCTTTTGGGGTCAGACCAGTTGTTGTCGCACAGGTATGGGGAGTCGCGGTCGCTTTGAGTCATGATTATGGGGCCGGAGGCCTCGGGCAGGCGGCTCAGGGGATACCGCGGCTTATCAGAGGACATGAGTTCTGGAATGTAAAACTCCGGGAGGGTGGGACGTGGTCGGGATAGGCGACGTGATGCACTATGGATAGCGTGGCAAGTATCAGAACAAAAAATGGGTACACCTTTTTGTTTGTTTGTTGTAAAATAAGGTCTTAGTTTTTTTGTCGTTTTGAGAAACATTTGTAAATTTACCACATGTTTTTCATGAAAGGTGGAAAATACGCATGTCAAGGGATATAGCAAACGTCCACAAAAGCTGAAAGCGGATCGGATGGTTGACCTGTCTACCGCATCGGTCAATTGTCTGGGGTTAGGCCTGGGTTGACGAAGAGTCAAAGGTCACGTCGGGGTCACCAATTGTGAGGTGCTACTCAGATGCTAATCGCAAATGGTGGTACATAAGAGACGTGCAGTGTACGGAGGTAGAGAGAACAGTTAGAACGGCTGGAGCCAACATGCATTGACAAAAGCTACGAAGGATGGAGGGCAGGTGAGCAGAAGCAGAAAGCATATTGCAGCGGGACTAAGCAGAGGAGCAACTGATCGGTAAGTGCACCCTGATGCGTATTACTCGAGTATTGCTGGATCGCACCTGGACCCTTAGTCAGCGCAAGAAGTGAATAAGAGCACATACCGGCCGGGACGTGTCAAAAAAAACTGTAATAGATATCTTGTAGGTTACACCAGATGAATAAGTCGAAAAGGAACCAATCAGCACAAGGAAAAAGAGTGGACGAATCAGCTATCGGTCAATCAATCTGTATGTGTCTGTGTTTGCTCATCGGCTCAGCGGTTTAGCGGACGACACACATGTAACATCTCCTCACGTGACAGATGGAATCATAGTTATGAAATGTAACGTTCTACCGGCTTAGGTGAGCGGTGCGGTTTCCGAATAGCAATCGGTTGATCGATTTCTTCTGTTTGGTTTTTGTTTGTCTCCTCCAGATCTACTGGAACCACTTTCTCTTCCCCAGGAAACGGCGTGACTGGGTGCGGGGCCGGATGAAATCATTGTGCCTGCGTACTGTCTCTCCACTCTCTAGTTGTATTTCGGCCTCCGTTTCTGAGCTCGTAAGCACGGTGCCAGGCTGCCATAACTGCTCATGTGGTAGTTTCGTGTAAACATCACGTTCCACTATCGACTTCTGGGGCTTAACTGGTGCGCGTCCACTTTCATGCATACGTTGTTGCTGGCAACGCCTGGTCTGACAAGGGTCTGGAAAAAGTAGGTCTAGCCTCATACGTAGTCGACGCCCAAACATTGCCTCCCCAGGGCTCTTTCCGATAGACTCTAGCGGTGTGATCCGATATGCGAACAAGAATCGGTCAAGTTTGGTTCGTAACGAGACATTACGCTGCTTTAGAAGACCAGCTTACACGGTTTGGACCGCTCTTTCAGCTAAGCCGTTTGACGCTGGATGGTACGGTGCGGAAGTCATGTGATGAACGCCGTTACTCTGCAGGTATTCTCTGAACGCTGCACTCGTAAATTGCGGACCGTTGTCAGTGACTAATGTTTTTGGTATGCCATGTGTAGATAGACTAGAGCGTACGCCATTGATTGTAGCTTCTGCAGTAGCGTTTGCAACAACATGAACATCAATCCATTTGGAGTACGCATCTACTAAAAGTAGCAACATTGTTCCTTCGATCGGGCCAAAGTAATCGGCGTGGACACGTTCCCATGGGCTGTCGGGCAACTGCCAAGGGTGAATTGGGCCTGTTGGATTATCTCTTTGATATTTTGGCATGTGTTACAAGTACTCAAAAGTGCTTCGATGTCTCGGTCAATCGCTGGCCACCAGCAGTAGGATCTGGCGAGGGCTTTCATGCGGACAATACCTGGATGTGCATCATGTAATTCTTTCAGTACAGCTGACCTGAGAGTCAATGGGATAACGATGCGAGATCCACGTAGGATACATCCTTCATGCAGGCTCAGCTCAAATCTACAATTGAAAAACAGACGCAGATCAACAGGGGCTCGCGAACCCCAGCCACGCAGCAGCATACGTTTCACAGTCGATAGAACGGGAACTCTGTCTGTAGCTTTCCTAACCGTGTCGCCAGATATGGGTGTAGTATTCAGGTGTTGCAAAAGTTGAACAAACTCGTAGGGCGCGTCACATCTTTCCTCCTGTTGGTCAATCTGTGGCAATCTACTGAGCGCATCAGCGACATTATTGTGAGGACCGGCAATGTATCGGATTTGATAATTGTAAGCAGAAAGTAGGAGGGCCCAGCGTACCATTCGGTGTGCGTTAAGTTGTTCTATGCCTCGTTCCTTACAGAGAAGTGACAACAGTGGTTTATGGTCAGTCTGTATCTCAAACTGGTTGCCCCACAAGTACTGATGGAACCGCTTTACTCCGAATACTACGGCCAGTGCTTCCTTGTCTAATTGTGCGTAATTTTGCTCAGCAGGTTGTATTGTGCGGGACTCGAAAGCAATAAGGCGAACTGTTCCGTCGTGGACTTTATGTCGCAGCACTGCCCCGACTCCAAAAGGTGAAGCATAACACTGTAGGATGAGGGGTTTGTTGGGGTCGTAATGTACCAAGACTGGTGAAGAAGCAAAGAAACCTTTTGCCCTGTCAAATGCTTGTTGCTCTTCCTCGCCCCATGCCCACTTAGAATCCTTTTTCAGCAAGTTGTGAAGTGGTGCTAGAACAGAAGCAAGATTAGGTAGGAACCGACGATAATGTGAAAGCATTGCAACGAACGAGCGTAACTGGGCTCCATTATGAGGTGAGGGTGCAGAAATAATGGGTTGTAATTTATCTTTCCGCGCGTGTAAACGATGCTTGTCCAGTCTATAACCGAAGTAGTCAACTGAATCAACTAGGAAAGCACATTTGGAGCGTTTCAAACGCAAGCCGTGTTCAGAGAGTTTATGCAACACCCGGTCCAACGTGTAAAAGTGCTCCTTTTCTGTGCGACCGGTGATAAGGATATCATCGAGATATGCGCAAGCGTTCGGTATGTCACGCACGATATCGTCAATTATCTTTTGGAAGATCGCCGGCGCTGAGTTAATCCCGAAAGGCAGTCTAGTGCATTCGAATAGCCCCAAATGTGTACTGATCGTCGTAAGACGTCGAGAGGTCTCATCCAACTCTACCTGCGAATAGGCGTGACTCAAATCCAATTTAGTGAACTTGACTCCTCCAGACAAGTTGGCATACAAATCCTCAATTTTTGGTAATGGATAACGGTCGATTTACTGTAAGCTTATAATCACCACAGATTCGTATGTTACCGTCGGGCTTAAGTACAGGTACTATCGGGGCCGCCCATTCAGCTTGTTGGACTGGTACAATTATACCTTTGCTTTGAAGCCTTTTCAGCTCGTCTTTCACTCTAGGTCGTAAGGAATAGGGCAGTGTTCTGGCCTTAAAGAACTTTGGTGTACTTGAGTCTGACATATGGATTTTTGCTTTAAAAGCATTGAGTCTGCCCAATTGCTGCTCGTCAAACACTTCTGGATCTCGTTTAAGGACTGATTCAAAGGTATCCTCCCCAACGGAGTGGATAGTATTTAATACTTGTGGTAACATTTTCATCCGATCGCGACCAAGCAAATTGACTGGAGCCTGAGGCATGACATGAAATACCAGGCTGTGTGATCTACCCTGATGCTGCACTCGTACCTGACACTTCCCAAGTAAATCAATCACTTCTCCTGTATAGGTTCTAAAACGGTATCAGTCGGTTCCAGGTCGGGTAACGATGAGAGCGCGTTTTTACTAATCAATGTCACCGCGGAACCAGTATCCAATTCAAATAAAACAGGTTCGTTATTAACATGAAGCGTGATCCTATATGGAGACACTTTCGTCATAACTGAGCAGTTTGAAATTATATGGTTCATAAAATTTAGCTGGGAATCTGGGCACTTACCGT